AGAAGAAACACATGTTGTTGTGTGTGAATTTTCGTGTCGAGGTGTCTGTCTTCTTTTTTTGGTTTTCTTTTCTTTGCTTTTGTTATTACATTTCTTCGCGCTCAAATAAATATTATGTCATCTGCAAAAGGCAGGCAGTGGCAGCGATTGGAGTTTGTGGTGGTTAAAGTGTGGCAGTAGTTGAGTCAGTAAATGAATGAATGAATGAAATTGAGGAAAGTAAAAACGAGAAGAAAAAGAAGAAGAGGAGGAGGAAAAAATAAGACATAGTGACGAAGATAATGCTCGTAGTAAACGGGAGTACTCATGACGTTAATGATGATTGCACATATGGGTGCTCTTCGCCGTCAGCCAAAAAAAAAAAAAATGAAAGAAATCAAAAGCTTGGAGTTTCGGGGCTTTCTTTTTGTTAGCTGCTGGTGTTAGGTATATACCCCACACATGGCTCACTCCAATTGAGCAGTGGCTTCTTCACCTGACAATTGCTTAATTTTTTTGCGTTTTGCTGTCTGGATGTTTAACACATGACACCTTTTTGCTAAAATTAGACGATGCTTAGCTTTTAATATTTTTTTTGCTGTAGTTTATGTAATTAAGGTGTACCAGCTTTTTCTTGATTTGCGCCTCTAACTATTTCCACGTGTTTTAGCGTCTATTTTACCTGTGTATTGTTTTGGTTTTTATACCCTACAACACTATGTGTTGGGGGTATTATAAGTTTGATTGGCCCAAAAATTATGTAACACCTCGAAATATTGGTTTCCCACATAGGAAAGTATATATGGATCTTCCTAGCTCGCGGAGCTGAGTCGATCTAGCTATGTATGTCCGTCCGTCCGTCTGTCCGTCTGTCCGTCTGTCCGTCTGTCCATGTTAATTTGTAATCACTCTACAGGTCGCAATTATGGCCCGATCTTCACGAAATTTAGAATGTAGGTGGGTCTGGGGTCAGAATAGAACCCTATTTCTTTTGGAGATGATCGCCAAATGTTTAGGGGTTGAAATGGACCAAATACTGAAAAAATGTCGGATTTTGCAGTAGCTATACAGGTCGCAATTATAGACCAATCGACGCGGAATTTAGCATGTAGCTAGAGTTTAGGGCGGGGAAGAAGCCTACCAATTTGGGTGGTCATCGGATAATATTTAGCGGGTAAAATAGACCATACCTTTTGTGTTGAAAAAATTCAAAATTTTTCATTAAACCGCGAATATTTTAAATCCCGGCGAAATCACAAAGCCATGACAAGGTTACTTCTGATCTTTACATTGATGTTAACATCCAACAAAACGGATATATAGCAAAATATGTGCGATATATACGTTTATCAAAGAAGATATGCTTGAAAAATCTCTTATATGTCGAGAACGGCTGAACTGATTTCCACAGTTCTCATTAATTCAGAATGGCCTCTTGGCAGGAAAGAAAAAACGTCTAAAAAATCTCATAAAAATATCTCTCTAAAGATGAAAATATTGATTTTGTAAAATTTTCTCATAATTTTTCAATTTTGTCATATTTTTGGCATATTTTCATTTTGAATTAAACATTTGGTAATATTTCTACAGCTAACAAAACTAAGTAGTTAGGATATCGGGATATCATATACAGATCGCATTTATGGCCCGATCCTTACAAAATTTTGCATGGGGATAAGATGAGGGTCAGAATTGAAGCCTGCTCTTTTTGGAGATGATCGCCATATATGTAGGGGTTGAAATGGACCAAAAAACTGCAAAATTGTCAGCAAAATTGTAGACAAAATACGAAAATGTCCATTCCAGTGACTTTTTGGAGAATTCACAAATACAGGAAAGACGCACTTCTGACTATTTCGTTAACGCTGATTTCGTTGAAGAATATAGTCAAATGTCTGTATCTCATATAGATGCGTTTCAGTCAAAAACCAATAATAAATGTTAATATTTTGCCACTTCTGAGAGATTATAGGTCTTTGGGAAATATTGGTTCCAGATCTAGGAAGACCATTTACGTGCAACATCTACCAATAAATTGGAAATGAGCAAATTAGTTTAAGTTGCTATTATTCGAAAATTAGAGAACGGAACCTGATGGTTTTCTTTTATTATTTGTAACAATATCTTGTGGAATTTTGTCGAGTATTTCGCCTATATAAACTGTATGGTTTATTATAGTGTTGTAGGGTATTCAACGGTCGGCCCCGCTCGACTGTAGCCTTTGCTTACTTGTTTTGCTTAACTCTGCTGTTTTTCTCGAAGTCAACAACCATTGTTTTTATTTACTTTTTTAATTTATTTGAAATTGCTAAGCAGAGAAAGGGCATCTATTATTTTCTTTTTATTGTTGTTTTTGTGTCTGAGACTGACATTGTGAATGGCTACAAAGGTTATTGGAAAGATTTTTCTTTTGTTTACTTTGAGTGATTCAAAGTGTAAACAATTTGAGGTTGGCTAAAAAAATTATTATTTTTCTACGAATGAATCACATATCAAAGATTCAAAGGCCTTTCCAGGCAAGAGCTAGAGGTCTCCTCATTAGAAGAGTTAAAGGTCTTCTCATTAGGAGGGCTAAAGGTATTATTCAGAGAAGAACTAGAAGTCTTCTCATGAAAGATCTAAATGTCTTCTCAGAGAAGAGCTACAGGTCTTCTTCAAACAAGAGCTCGAGGTCTTCTTCATAGAAGAGCTTGATGTTTTCTTCATAGAAAAGCTCAAGGTCTTCTCATTACAAGAGCTACAGGTCTTCTCCATAGTAGAGCTCGAGGTCTTCTCATTACAAGAGCTACAGGTCTTCTCCATAGTAGAGCTCGAGATCTTCTCCATTGAAGAGCTCGAGGTCTTCTCCATAGAAGAGCTCGAGGTCTTCTCCATAGAAGAGCTCGAGGTCTTCTCCATAGAAGAGCTCGAGGTCTTCTCCATAGAAGAGCTCAAGGTCTTCTTCATAGAAGAGCTCGAGGTCTTCTTCATAGAAGAGCTCGAGGACTTCTTCATAGAAGAGCTCGAGGTCTTCTTCATAGAAGAGCTCGAGGACTTCTTCATAGAAGAGCTCGAGGACTTCTTCATAGAAGAACTCCCAGGTCTTCTTCGTATAGAAGAGCTCTCGAGGTCTTCTTCGTATAGAAGAGCTCTCGAGGTCTTCTTCGTATAGAAGAGCTCTCGAGGTCTTCTTCGTATAGAAGAGCTCTCGAGGTCTTCTTCGTACAGAAGAGCTCTCGAGGTCTTCTTCGTACAGAAGAGCTCTCGAGGTCTTCTTCGTATAGAAGAGCTCTCGAGGTCTTCTTCGTACAGAAGAGCTCTCGAGGTCTTCTTCGTATAGAAGAGCTCTCGAGGTCTTCTTCGTATAGAAGAGCTCTCGAGGTCTTCTTCGTATAGAAGAGCTCTCGAGGTCTTCTTCGTATAGAAGAGCTCTCGAGGTCTTCTTCGTATAGAAGAGCTCTCGAGGTCTTCTTCGTATAGAAGAGCTCTCGAGGTCTTCTTCGTATAGAAGAGCTCTCGAGGTCTTCTTCGTATAGAAGAGCTCTCGAGGTCTTCTTCGTATAGAAGAGCTCTCGAGGTCTTCTTCGTATAGAAGAGCTCTCGAGGTCTTCTTCGTATAGAAGAGCTCTCGAGGTCTTCTTCGTATAGAAGAGCTCTCGAGGGCTTCTCCATAGAAGAGCTCCGAGGTCTTCTACTTCATAGAAGAGCTCCGAGGTCTTCGTATATAGAGCTATATCGAGCTCTTATCCATAGATGAGCTCAAGGTCTTCTCCATAGATGAGCTCGAGGTCTTCTCCACAGATGAGCTCGAGGTCTTCTCCACAGATGAGCTCGAGGTCTTCTCCACAGATGAGCTCGAGGTCTTCTCCACAGATGAGCTCGAGGTCTTCTCCATAGATAAGCTCGAGGTCGTCTCCATAGATGAGCTCGAGGTCGTCTCCATAGATGAGCTCGAGGTCTTCTCCATAGATGAGCTAGAGGTCTTCTCGCAGAAGAGCTATAGGTCTGCTAGAAGAGGAGCTGTAGGTCTTTTCGAAGAAGAGCTGTATAAAAGACCTGGAGGCCTGAAGGTCTTCTCATAGAAGACCTGGTGGTCTTCTCATAGAAGACCTGGTGGTCTTCTCATAGAATACCTGGTGGTCTTCTCATAGAATACCTGGTGGTCTTCTCATAGAATACCTGGTGGTCTTCTCATAGAATACCTGGTGGTCTTCTCTTAGAATACCTGGTGGTCTTCTCATAGAATACCTGGTGGTCTTCTCATAGAATACCTGGTGGTCTTCTCATAGAAGACCTGGTGGTCTTCTCATAGAAGACCTGGAGGTTTTCTCATAGAAGACCTGGAGGTTTTCTCACAGAAGACCTGGAGGTTTTCTCACAGAAGACCTGGAGGTCTTCTAACCGGGGACCTGGAGGTCTTCTAACCGGGGACCTGGAGGTCTTCTAACAGAGGACGTGGAGGTATTCTAACAGAGGACCTGGTGGTCTTCTAACAGTGGACCTTGAAGTTTTCTTACAAAATTGCTATAAGTCTACTAACAGAAGACCTGGAGGTCATATTTTCTCACAGAAGAACTAGAGCTCTTGTCACTCTTCTGTTCACAGAAGAGTTATTCATCTTTTCAAAGACAAGTTATAATTTTTCTCTAAAATAATTTTAGGATAGAGAGAAAGAGAGAGATAGAGAAAGAGAGAGAAAGACATATAGAGGAAAAAGAGTAACAAAGAAATATGGATTGTAGAAAATTTGGAAAAATTTTGGGATCTTTCAACCAAAACGAAAGACTTAGAAACAAGCTTTGTTTTGTAAATATGAAAGAAGAGGAGGGATAGATAAAGAGAGATATATATAGAAAAAATAGAGTGTGAAAAGGAATATGGGTTGCAGAAAACGTGGAAAGTTTCTGGGATGTTTCAGCCAAAACGAAAGACTTAAGAAACAAACATTTTTTATGGATATGTACGAGAAAAAAAGAATAGAATTTTAGAAAAATACTTTTGATGATTTTTTAAAAACCTATTTCACATGTTTTGTTTTACAGAAAGAAATCTCATAAAATCATCATGACGATGTGCTAATCTGAGGGTATACGTCCGGTCTTAAGATGAAAAAAAAAACCCGAAATGCACACATTCCTCTCCATCTCAATGTATGTGACTTTGCATGTAAACTCTCTACATTAACTACACATAAAACCGGTAAGTAAGCACATGTTTGTTAACACATAATCTTAATTAATACTGTCTTTTAAAGGTTTTGCAATAAACACAAATCCACCACAAAAAGTTGACATAATATTCAAAAAAAATCATACTTGTCTATAGTTTTTTGAGAGTAGGCTATGGGCTGCTCTTTGGGGGTTTGCAATCATGTAGGCCGGCCAAAAAAAAACTACAACATTATTGAACCTTGAACCGAGCCATAAATTTAAATGTAAGGGCTCGTGTAATAAAGCCACAAATTTCCATAGAAATAATAATGAGAAGAATGTAATATTGAAAATAAAAATGCGGGGAACAGGGCAGAACTTGTTTTTGTTTCTGAGAACTGTCAAGAATTTGGATTTTGAAATTTGAAAAAAAAAATTAACATAGAACTACTAAAAAATATTAGAAATTTTAGCAGCAAATCAAAAACAAAATAGCATAACATGTCACAAAGATGACAAGCAAAAATCCTGCATTGGAAATTTGTTTGAAAACAATATCATCCATTAGCATAGCAGTATATTAATAAATTATGAAATAAGTCGCCTTCCCATTGAATCTTGCATAATTTAATTATTGAATTAATTATATAAAAATGTGACGGCATACAGGTTTGCTTTATAGCTTCTAATTGACAAATTTATTAAAATTTACAAACAAAACCTTTAGCTCATCTCAAAAGAGTAATAGTTAAATAAAAGCAATTATCTTTCCATGGACTTTGGCTGTAGGATATCCAAAACACCTGCCACTGGTTTTAAATTTAGAAATTCTATTCAAAAATAATTAATTTCAAAATATAAATTATTTATAATAATAAACCAGTTTTTGTTCTGAGTTGCAATTTGTACTGTGAATCAAAAGACTTAAGCGACAAACCTGAAATATCACACTGTCAAGAAGGTAACAAAAAATTCAAAAGAGGAAATTAAGGAAATAAAAAAAAAAATGCAAGAAACCTGATATAAATCAAATTATCACCAAACGGGAGAAGTTATACCCAAATATTAAACTCTGACAGAAAGTATATCTAAGCTGGTTTTTATTAGGTGTTGTCGGAGGTCTGTTGACATTGATGCCCCAAATCATATGTTAATGTCAGCTTCGAAAAACTAGTACCAAAGTTTTTAAGGTAGATGTGTAATTCTGGTCTAAAAAATGAATTTTGGAGATATCAGGAACCATCATCATCCAGATAGCCGGAGATACTCTTTAAGCAAATTTGGTTGAGTAAGAACTGGCAGAATGATTATCAGCTGCTGATTTGCTGAAATATTGGTTTTGAAAGAGTGCCGTAGTTTTACGTTCCCATAATTTCTCAGTGTGTTCTCCCAGAGTAAATTTTGTGTTCTGCTCTTTTAATGTTATTACCATTGGGAAGTATTATAAAACATAGAATAATATTAAACTTGAAATGTAGATGGCGTTGGCATACCACAATTTTTTTAACATTCTTAACGTGGACATATTTAGAATTCCTTTGTTGCCATACCATCATAATTTCATTTCTTGTTTTAAAATTTTAAGAGACGGCTTTTATAAGATTGTAATTAGTATAGCACTAGCCTACAGTCTACAGACTCTAAAAAGTCGTATTCTTGACTAAATATGAGTTTTAACCGAGAATTTGCCCAAAGAGAAGACAGCCTTGTTCGAAGAAGTTGTAGAACATCTTAAGATTTTGTGAATCAGAGATTATTTCTAAATGCTAAATTTATTAATTTATTAGAATAATAAGAAAATTGAAATAATTGAAATGGTAGATTTTTTGAATATTCTTTACGTGCACATTTTTCGAATTTGTTTGGAGCTCACCAAAATGTGATTTTTTGCTATAATTTTCTAGGAGTAGCCTTTTAAAAGAAAAGGTCGAGTTTTTGACAAAATATATGTTTTAGCCGAGAATTATGGCGGATTTACTCAAAGATAAGGAAGCGTTGTTGGAAGAAATTCTGCAATCTCTTAACACTACTTTTTGGATAAATGTATTGGAATAATATTAAATTTCAAATGTAGATGGCGTTCATTTTATATTCATAAAGTCAACTTTTATAGAATTTGTTTTTTGCCATCAAAGTTGGGTTTATTGTTGAATAAAATCATGAACACTATGTGGAGGAGGTACAGGAAGAAACTGTCCCATCTCTACCATCTTTATAAGAGATCTTGTTTTGATAGAAATATTGAGATACGCGAAGTCTGAAAAGAATCGGATGTTAACTTCGTGTGTATGAGCTTTATGGAAATTCAAAATGTTGGCCCTATGTGGGGGAGGTACTAGATGGAGTGGACCGATATTTTTCATTTCCTCACCTGACCTAGCACTGGTGCAAATATTAGGATTTGCAAAGATGGAACAAAATCGGATTATCATTTCTCTTTCTGTGCAGTCATAAGACTTTTTTTTTGAAAATGTCGACTTTTTGTGGTGAAGGTACCAGAAGGAGTGGACCGATATTGCCCCTATTATTTATTTATATAATAATATTACGATGTACCAAGTTTGGGTCAAATCGGATACAATCTTCGAGAGTTCGCTATATCGACTCCAAACGGATTTGGTCCAAAGAGAGCAAAGTTCTAAACCAGTTATTTCCATGAGACACATTTTGGCCGCATCATATGATTTATATCCTCTCTAGCCATATGGCTGAGGGTATAATTATGATTATTCCCACGACCGTAATTTATTAAACATAAGTAGAGGAATTTCGGTTTCACTCAATGGCAAAATGTTCTAGAATTTCTTTCAAAAGCACTGTCTTCCCCTTGGCAAATTCTGGGCTCATTGGAGACAATTTTAAGTGAAAATTGTGTTAAAAAAATCCAAAAGTCATGTTATAATAAGTTCTAATTGGAACATAGACATAATTAAAAAAATTCAAAGGGGATTAATTGTGTTCTAAGTTTTTCAGATATCAAGAATTCTCCACGAAATCAGGAATGCTCCCAAAATTACAACTTAATTTTTTTTTTAAATTTTCCATTTTTTTGCAATTTTTTTTAAATTTTGCAATATTTTGAAATGCATTTTTGGCTTGGATTCAAATGTTATCATAAATATTTTATTGCCTGTCATTCGAAATGTTGTCTAGCCAATGTTGTTTGCCTCTGAGCAACAGTTAGTTAAGTATTTGCCAGTAATTTAATACCACAAACGGTTGGTTGTTGTTGGCGTTTTTTTTTGTAAAAACAAATATCAATGTATATCCATTACAACAACATCTACAAATGTAGTCGAGAAGAAGAAAAAAACGTTAAATTGCGAAAACCAAAAAAAAAAAAAAAAAAAAAAAAACGTCGATTTTTTTTCGAAAGTCTGAAGTTCATTAAACGTCCTTGGCTAAGTTGTGCACTGACAACATGGGGGTGGAGGGTGGAGATTTTCCACCAACATTTTCAAGATTTTCACTTTAGAATAACACGAATATTCCACCAATTAAAACAATGATTGATTTGTAATTTTTTTTTGGTTGTTGTTACATTTTCGAGTTCCTTTACCACTGTTTTTCTTTCCTTTCGATTTGAAATTTATTGGATCAAGAAAAGCTCTTTTTCCTTTTTTGGTTTTTGTTATTGTCTTTTGGGAAGTTTTTTCTCTATTCCACAATTTTTAAACATTTTTTTAAAATTGTTTTCATTTTTTTTTGGAAAATATTTAATTTTTTTTTTGTTTAAATAAAGAACACATACATTTTTTAGTAGATACGCTGAAACTTGTTGTTGGCGTTTGAACGGTTTTGTTTTTGGTGTGTACGCAACGGTTTTAAGCTATATGACGACCGAGATTATCCTAAGGTCCGGTGTTGTGGAAACAAAAAAAATGATAACACTGGGCTGTGTTTTGGAAGACTAGACGCGCTATATTGTCGAGTTGTGTCTATGCTATTGGAGTTGCAATTGATTACTAACGTATTTTTATCACACCACAACAGACTAAAGCTTAACGCGCCGTTGGCCTAATCAAAACCTTCCCCAAAAACAACAAAACTGAGCTGAAATAGCACCTCATGCGGATACCGCAGCGGCATGGTGGTATTGTGGGCCACTAATACCATGACACAAATGGCATGATACGAAAGAGCCTATATTGCTTGGCCAACATTATACTTTGTACCACTTGTTGTGCTTTGAAAAAAGTCTTCTCTGTAGTGGTAAGTGCCATGAAAAGGAGGCCTCAATCACACCAACTACATGTGAGCCACATATGCACACACGTACGCTCACACACTCTCTCTCTCTGTGGTGGCTCTGTGATCTCTTAAAATTGTTATAGCATTCCCTTAGCCACAAACTCTCTCATTGAGCCACCATCCAAATAAAGCTTTTGCCCTCCAACCACTGCAGCCACCACCAGTTCCACTCACAACGAAATCGAAAGTATTTGCCAGCAATTGAGTGTTTCTCGACAGCAATCTGGTTTGGCTGACACTGCTGACACCGTTTTTGTTGTTGCCGTTTTATTTCTATTTTGTTAACTTGGCTTTACGCAAAAACATCAACACCCCATAATCTAAACTGGATTTTGTGTTTTTCTGTTTCGGCTGTTTGGTTTTGTTGTAGACCCACTACCACAAAAATTAAAACTTGATTTTTTGTTGTTGCTGTTGGCCAACACCACCATCGTCGTCAGCATCATCAACGGCAGCAGCATCACAAATCGTGCCGATTTTTTTGTTGGGCGAAAAAAAAGGAAAGACATTCCACAAAAGACCCCAAAAGTCTGGCTGCTGTTGTCAAGAGTGAGGTTTTTCTTGTTTTTTTGTTTGTTTGTTTGTCTATTAACGGTGAAGGCACATGGATGTAGCAACAACAACAACACCAACACAACATTTGTCTTTTCCGCCTTTTTAAGTGGACGTGGAAAAAAGTTTCATATTTTCCTCCATGACAGAAATGTCCACAAGGCTACATAATTGAAATAGTTTTTATAGAAGTACCTGTTTTTTTTTCATCAAAAAAAAGAAAAAAAAAAAAATTGGAAAATTATTGGCCAGGGAATTTGATGGATTTATGGACGCGAAAAACAGGCCCAGTTTTTATTCATTTTATTTAACAATAAATACATTTTTTCTTAATTTTTTTTTCTGAAACAGATGCCTTTCATTGGTCCCAAAATATGTCCAAAGGTTCCAGTTTTTTTGGATCGGAGGACGGGATCGTATGAAAGGATGCATCCCACATTTGGAAGCCTTCTAAAAATTCGGTATAACTTTAAGTGCATTAGACGAACTAATATTTTTTACATCAACTATTTAAGAATGTGGCAATCCACGGGAACTTATTTTCCAATATCCCCACAAACATGTATTTCCCTCTAAAAATTGTATTCCCCACAAAATAGCATTTCCCTATAATAGATCATCCTTTTTCTGGATGTTTTGAAGGTACCCCCTGAATGTTCACTAAGTTTTGTAGGCAAATTTGAATATTGAAAATGAAATTTCTGCAGATATTTATATAGCTAATTGTTTTGTTTTAATTACAACTCTACAACACTATGTGTTTAGGTTATTATAAGTTTGATTGGGTCAATAATTACGTAACACCTCGAAATATTGTTGCAGGACATAGGCGGTAACATATGGATCTTCTTATAGGCTAAGCTGAGCTAAGTGTTCCGACCGTCCGTCTGTCCATGCTAAATTGTAATCACGCTGTTGGTCGCAATTATGGTCCGATCGTCACGAAATTTTTCATGAAATTTGGGTTAGCGTTTAAAGAGGAGGAGAGAAGATGGAGAAATATCCTAAGGCTAAAATAGACCCAAAACAGATTATTTTCTTGATTTTACAGTACAGGTCACAATTATGATCAATAGGCGCGGACTGGCAGGGTAGAGGTCGACCATTTTGAGTGGTCATTGGATAATATTGAGCAATTGAATGGACCATAATTTTTGTGTGAAACATACCAACATTTACATTCACTGGGAAAATTTTTAAAGGTGAAAGTCGAATCCCATCGAAATCATAAATACATGAAAAGGTGCTTCAAACCTTTACGTCAAGAAATCAAAAGTTTAGCAATATATATAGGGTGACATAAAAAACGGCAAAAAAGTCAAACGCCATAATTTTTACATTATTTTTTTTTTTAATTTTATTGAATGAAAGTGCAAAATATCGGAAATAGCATCAAATTTTAGAATAAGTTTAGATTTGTTCGAATTGATCACCTTTGGCACGAATTATGGCCTTCAAACGGCCAATGAAACCGTCACACGCTGCCCGCGTGTTGCTCTGCGGTATTTTGGCCCATTCCCGGCGAAGCGCTTGCTTGAGGTGATCGACACTTTGGTATTTTTCAGTGCCAACCTAGCTTTCTAAAATACTCCAGACGCAATAATCCAACAGATTAGTATCCGGAGATTTTGGTGACTATTGTTTGCTGGAAATGAGGCGAGGAACCTCATTTTGTAACCATTCTTGGGTGGCGCGTGCTGAGTGCATTGCTGGTGAGTCCTGTTAGAATGTCCAAGGTCTGGGGCGTGTTTGCATGACCAAGGCTTTAATACACCCTCCAGAATATTTTCGCGATAATATTCGGTTTTTTTCTGATGCCAGGGTCAAAGGGAGACGATCAGCTGTTATGGCGGCCCACACCATCACCATGGCCGTCGCTTTAGTTCTGGTGGCCAAGCGAAGGTGTACATTTTCAGCTGACCTCTTTGGCAAGTAAACACGATCATTTTGTTCGTTTACAAACTGCTGGACAACGAATGTTTTCTCATCGGAGCGGAGAAACCCAAATTCGGCAGTTCACCACTTTCGGCCAAGCGAAGCAACTCTTTAGCTCTTTTGAATAAATTGTCTTCCTGTTGCGGTGTAAGTTCTTGCACTTTTTGGAATTTCAATAGCTTTACCCCGAGCTCATTTTTCAATATTTATTTTATCACGAGCCATCTTTCCGCCACTGCGACGCGGGTTTCGATCAAGTCGCTCCTTTACTTTTCGAACCATTTCTGCTGATGTTGCTGTTTTCTTCCGCCCACTTCCTTGACGTCGGGCTACGTTACGGTAACGAGCGATGGTACGAGACAAAAAAAGATTTATTCACATTTAAATGCTGGAGTGCTCACTTGTGGTTTTTCGGCCAACTATAAAGAAATCGCACTATGACGCCTGAATTCCATCACGAATAACTTTTTTTCTGGAAAATTCTCACCAAAATGCTTTTGTACGCTTGTAAATAATATAATGAACTGTCACTGGAATAATTTAAACAGCTGTCGGACGAATGGCTTAGAAATAACAGCAGTTTTAAGTTGGCAGTTTTTACATCTTACCCTTTATTTCTGGATCCATATTCTGGATATATACAAATAACACAGTTAAAGAAAGACTTTATAAAAAATCTTTGTCCAATGATGTCTATGTTACCTGTATAGGTTCAGTGGAACCGCGACTAACTGGGATCTTGACCCGTAATTTTCGGATTCCTGCATACGTCCTCCAGGAAAAGTTATTTTCTTATCAAATCCATTATCAAATTTTCGATAAAATTTCAAAAATTAGAGTTTTTACTAAATTTGAAGTGTTCTCGATATTTAATAGATTTGCTTCTTGTAACACAGGTCCAATGTATTTCCCCTACTTGATAGAGTCCTTGTATATAAGTCCAGGGTTATTTAAGCCATATTGTTGCAATCGAGAATTTTTTTTACCTTAGGGGAAGAATTTTCGATGCAATCTTGTCTGTAGAAGACTTGTAAAAGTCCTTCTATGAGTAGGGACCACTTGACAAATTTATATTCGTAGGAGACCTATTAAAGATTCTTTGTAGAAAGTTCGATATCTGTATAAAACCTGTGAGTGGTCTTCTTTTCATTGAAGATATTTTGGAAGATTTTGGAAGTTGTCCAATCCGTAGAAAACCTGTACAGTTCTTCTATCTTTAGAAAACTTTTTAAAGGCACACCTTATATGTAGAATATCTGTAAAAGAAATTCTGTTGCAGAATTTCTTGTTTTCTTATCCGTAAAAAAAAAAAAAAAAACATTTGGAATGGAAGTTTTTTTACCAGAACTGTTAAGGTGTTTTGTTTGTAGACAATCTGAGAAATGGAGAATTGGAAGTCCTCTTGTCTGAGAATTAATTGAGAAAGTTTTTTCGTATATCTGATCTTCAGCAAATACATAGGTCTTTATTTGCAAGAACATCTATTTAAGATATGTGGACATTATATACGACATTTTAATATTAAAGAATTTCTTTCCCTTTTATTGACATACAAGGCTTACCTTAACTAGTAGCCTTTAAACGGTATTCCGAAATATTAATAGTTTGTCCTTTTTTTTTTAAATCAGCCCAAATATTTTGTACGACATATTCTTTTGAGATAAAAGACCATTTTACATTTTTGTAGTTGGAATATGTTTACATCCTGTAATTTTCGGTTCTTAAACTGGAGCCCTCTAAATTTGTTTACAATATATGGGCCTTCTAAAATCAGGTTATCGTTTTTCGTTCTGTGCAGAAAATATATTTTTTGAAAATTTCGACCTTCTGTGGGGGATATACCTGAAGAATGGACCAATACTGCCCGTCTCCGAACTCGATCTAAGTTTGATAACATAATTACGATACACTAGGTTTGGACCAAGCGGAATACTCCCTTCGAGAGTTATCGTGCGGACCAGCTAGACATGCAGACGGACAGACGGACATCACTAGATGACTTCAAATTTCCTGAAACGGATTTAGGCCAAAGAGACCTAGGGTTCCTTGAAAAAAATTTTGTTAATACAATATATGGGCCTTCTAGCTTCGTAAATGTTGGTTGTTAACGTTGCCTACACACTGGAGGGTTTAAGAATTGTAAGTATACCTATAATTACCCTTAAAGAGAGCACACGAGATTTAATTTAATTTATTTTAGGAAGGTAGTTGTAAAAGTGAAAAATACAAATAATACCTCTAAGGATGTTCCATCTGAGTACTTCATGAAATCACAGTTACAATG